TCGGTTCAGGCTCAGGCTCAGGTTCATCGGGTTCACGTTGCCGGCCGGCATGCCAACACGGGCCGTCTGACGGACGGGAAGATGCCATCTCAAATGCAGAAGCAGCAGGAGTAGATGCCGTGCTGTCTACGCCTCCCATCGACTGTATCTACCTTGGCATCCTCCCTCCTCCTCCACGCTGCCGCTCTGCGAGATCGCAGAATGATTCCTTTAGTCCACCTCCTGGTCATGGAGCAGCGCCGCCCGCAGCACACTTGTTTTCTCCCTTCGAGGGCGGTAGTAGCTTTTTTCTCCGTCGACCCGGTCTTCCTAGCCGCCCGGGGAGCGGTAATTTACTACCCCCAACGTGCTCTGTCCACGCATTTCTTCTTCCCTTTTACCCCGCAACCAAGACACTAGCACTGTCTGTAGTGCTTTTGGACTTCGTTTGGACAGGGAGGGGAATTCGCCGCCTCCGGCGCAATCCGGCCCTGCCATTCATTCACATGGCCCCAAGATATATATATTTATTCGACTCTTTTCTCCCTCCGGTTTCACTTTTACTGTACCTCGGATGCCGTCTTACTATGCTCAAATTCTAGGCCACCCTCCCCACTCTACCCATCACCACCACTAGTTTAATGACAGTGGTTGCAACCAATGCGTCTAATTCCGTCCTCACGTTTAGAGAGCCACGGGTCACAGAATCCAGCGTCGAGGAATGCCGTGGGGGCGTGCCGTACGGCGTCCGGCACCGGGGATTATTATGCCCTTCCGTGGTTGCTCCCAAGATTTTGTTTGCCCCTGACCTGGGACCAAACCCAATGATGAGCGACGTTTACATGTACTACTAGTATCCATCTATCAGTGTCAGTGTCAATGTCAGGCCCCCCTTTCTTTCCTTTTCAGTATTCCTCATCATCTTATTGGCTGGCCTACCGAGCTTCGCCGTCACGGAGGCCATCAATCAATCAAATGGTTTTTCATTTTGTTTTTTCGTTCACGGCGTCGGTGCAAAGGAGATTAGCAAATTGTTTTTTCGTTCACGGCGTCGGTGCAAAGGATATTAGCAAATTGTTTTTTCGTTCACGGCGTCGGTACAAAGGAGATTAGCAAAATGTTCATGTGGGATCCCAAGAACAGGCCCTAGGTGTTGATAGTTGATTGATACTCGCACATATAATTTCTTTTTTCTTCTCCGACAAAAGGGGAACAAGATGAAGATGAACCTGGGCATGCATACACTACTAGTCCTCTCACTTGATTGTTGGCCACGACAAATGTATGTATAATGCATGTAGAATCTAGATACGATGTGTGCCTCGCAACCAACCGGTTTAGCGTGCGTCGCCAAAAAGAAATTCACAAGTGCAAAGGGGAAGCTGCTGCCTGCCTGCCCACCACCACCACCACCTAGATGTATTATGTTTGGAATAGTTTAAGCAGCGGTGGTTGCAGATGGCACGTCCACGAGGTGAGATGTAGCCATCAGAGTAAGCAATGCGCTGAAATGAACGAATGAATGAAAGAAAGCAAGTTTGGTCGTCTCCTCCAGAAGCCTCGGCGCCGTCCTTTGCCGACAGAATCCAACGGCTAAAGCCTAAAGTTATGTTCCAAAGTTAAAGAAAGAGGGGCAGATGAGTCGGAATAGAATGATGACGGCGATCTCGATCGCTGTTAGGTTCCTGCAAATACTTGTTGCAGAACGAAGGCTCCGGTTTTGCCTTCTTCAGAAGATAAATAAGAACATTGTGTTTTACAGTAGAAGATAAGCTGCAACTTGGCCTATGCTCTCTTTTAGAAGCCTACCCAAGACCGAGATCTCCGATCACCGCCAAGCCGAGCACCCGCGGCATCTGCGGCTCTCATCTCAGTTGTTGTCCTCTCAACTTTCAGTCCACAGTCTCCATCCAACATCGCACCCAATTAGCACATGCAATCCAGTCTCATTGTAGTTGGAAACAGATGACTGCTGTTCTAGCTGTCCTAGCCGTAGACCTATCTACTTATCTTTCCTAGCTAGTGTGTAGTGCTGTGGGTTGAGATGTCCCCTGTCTTGCAGGGGAGGTGCTGGTCCTGAATTGAGTTTATTATCACAATGATGGATGTGCAGTGTGTTTACAAGACTTTTCTTGTCGTTGAAGTTGATAGCTTTCTGTCCTTTCATTGCTCGGATTCTCTTGCCTTCATATAAGCTGACCCCTTTGTTAATCATAACTTAGAACTCCACCTCCCTTTAGTAGTGCTCTCAGACAAGGATGCTGTCTGAAGCAATTCACTAGTCAGGCCAGTTCATTACTTTCAGCTGATTTTTGGCTGTGAACCCTCAAAGACGTCATGGCGGCGCCGTAGGTTCGGTAAGCTTCATAGCCCCATTTAGGATTAGATAGTTGTAAGTATGAGTTTTGACTCACTCATTCTCCTTATAGTTTCTACCTTGTTAATGATGACTCAGCATCTAATAGGAATTTGTACTTGTTAATGAGCAACTGCAGATGCTTGTGGTGATGTATGCTTGTTTTTTTGTTTTATCTATTCTCCTACATAAATATATAGTGGCATAATTTGATATCAATAGATAGTCAACCATGTATTCTTTAACAATATCAAAAAGGTGAAATGTACTTGTTCATAGTGCTATTTATATGTAGCAAATTGATGTCTTTTTTTCGGTCTCATTTTGGTCAATAAGCCATGATTTTCATACATCTATTGTTATTTTTCCATCATTATTTTCAGAGATTGTACTGGATGGGGCCTATTTGATATTCCTCTCTGCTCCTTACCCGCAAACTAGCTGATGATGGATCTCCACATGAAGTTTCTCCTGGCCTCCCTCAGCTGTGTACTTCTGATACAAGGAGCTTTCTGTGGTAAGCACTGCACACTCATGAACTAGATCTATTTGTTGTAATTGTCCAAAATAATTTTTTTAGAATGTCCTAAACATCGAGAGCACCATAGCACACTGAACGAAATGTGCTCACAGTAGGCGGTTTAGCATCTGATCCCCGCATTAACGTACAGATACTACCGCAGGGGGGACTGGAGCGACAAGCTGGACTTGTGTGTGCACCGCTCATCCACTTGGCGAAGCAAACTCCAATAGCAGCCTGTCATCCAGTTGCGACTCCTCGTGCCATTGCATACGAGGTATGAGAAATTAGGCACAATTTATGCTTATCAGCAGTTAAACAAGTCATGCCACCAAGATACCTGAACTTTGGGTGTCGGTCGTTGCAGATGAAAACGGCGGCACAGGGTCATGGAACTGCTCGTGCCGCTCCGACAAGGACCTTCAGGAAGAAGAACACGCTGTGGTGCACAGTGGGAGTTGCTTCACTTCCTGTAACTGCACATCTGGTATA